TCCGGACTAATTCACTCTTCAGGCTTAAGTTCGGGCAATACTATTTGAATGAAACAAGAGCATGTTAAATCACATATCTAATGAGCACACCTATCTAATGATACAAAAACAGGAATTAATGACGCACCCTAAGCTTCACAAAAAGACATAGCGCTAAATGATGGAAGTGTATGAAAAACTGACATCCCCCGTTTTTCTTTCCTGTCTAAATGACAGGATGACAGCACATACCTCAGGACAACAAAACAGTCGTGGTTGTGAGGTTCAGCGGTGCGCACATAGGGAACAAGGCACTCACCTGCAGATAGTTGACACGCAGTCCTTGCACCACCACGCATCGTCCAACTCCTTCATGGCCGAGCACTGGAAACAACGCAGATGGCCGGCGAACTTGGTTCTCAAAGAATCGGCGGCGCCACTGAGGACAGTCGTTTGGCGACACTTCGGGCATGACACCGCGCTGTCTGGGTTGGCACTGTTCGCCACCCACTTCTCGATGCACGGCAGGCAGAAGCTGTGGTCACAGTTCAGTTGCTTCAGCTGATGGTAGTCCTCATTACAAATCTCGCACTGTTGCACCGCAGGAGCCGCCTGCATCGCCACCGTTGCCCGTTCTTCCACCATCTCGTCTAAATTACTGAAACTTACACAAATACTGAACCCGCAACAACCATCCCGCAGCAACTTATGGCACCAAGTATCTTCTCAAACTGCTCTTTGCAACCGTGCCAGTCTGCCGCCTGGCCATCACACGCAACTTTTGTCATCAAGCACTTCCAAATGTAACAGTTGTCACCTTGTCGCCTGAGGGTTAACTGCCAGGCCACTGCTGTAGCGCAACGCTACGTGAGTGCAGTGTCTGTGAGAACGGCCAGACACAGAGGTCGTGAAAGCTGACGCATTAATAGTTTTATTTATTTATTTTTTTGCAGCGTTAGTAGTTGGACCAACAACAGTTCAAACGTTTTTTCAGACCACTCCCGAGATCAATGGCACAACAGTCCCGCAGAAATCGTCAAACATAACAGCAGCGACAAAATATAAAATGGGATATATTCCACGTGACATAAACTAGACAAGATACAGTATCAATTTTTCAGGTTCTTTTAAGTTTTTTTGCGAAGCGAAGAATCAGGACTAGTACTATTCATTTTGCTTTCTTCAGGCATTGTTTCTTTCATTTTTCAGAACACAAACAGTCAAAAAACAGACTGGCTGGATGATATTTTTTAGCTATGCCTTAAGCTGTTTGCAAAAAAACTTTGGATATCTTCAAAAGATTTTTGGGCAGTATCATTTGATTAAAATTTGACGGAGACTATCACTGTCTGTACACATACAGACAGATGCCGACTTACGTAACCGTTACATGCTACAAATCTTTGCATAATTCGAATTTCACTAAAGTCAGATTTAGGCAATTCTATCCCGTAACCACAGCCTCATACTTTACGTATTATAATACGAGTATACAGTAGTATATTCACGTTTTTTGTTCAAAAGGCTATTTTTGTTAGTTGTTTTCACAGGATGCGCATATGAATTAGATTTAAATACGCATTTATTAAATTAGACTAATATGATACAGCATAAATAGTATGATGAAATAAAAAGTACTCAATTTGGCTCTTCGACCTTATGAAATTATTAAGAAATCCTGATCGGAATAGTGACTCTTCTTTCTCTTCATAAATCAGGATTGAACTCAACCGTAGCGCACGCAAATGCTAATTATTACTGAAGCGTATGAAAAATACCCCGTCCATGTTCAGTAGTAAACACAAAATGATGCTGTGAAGAGCGTACGCATGCATCGCATGTACTGTCTGCTGTGCGAAATACCGCTGTTAGATAGCGTACAGATACCGTAGGCTCGATTAAGTAAAATTTTTAGAACTAAAAATATTTTCCACAATCCTTTCATACGTAATTTTGGGTCTGTCTGTATTATGATGAATGAATAAAATAAAATGATGAAGTGCATGAAGTATGAATTCACAAAGAATATTGCACTGACGGCCCCTTGAAAAGTTTATTATCGATTGAGTAGTATCATAACGAAATCGCCAGCTGACCTGAGGACCTGGAGGTGATAGCCTATCACTCGCAATAATGGCTTGTTCGTGGCCAAAACCATTCTGTTCCATTTCTCAACTTCCATTTGGCTAGATGAAAGTTTGAAAAACATTGGCAATAGTGGATGAGGGTATGTACTTCGAATGGACTGTCGAACAACTATTTGATATAAAGCGTAAAGAATAAAGAAAATTGGAAAACTGTCGACTTGGGCTAATGACAAGAACGTTAGCAAGTTCCTGGAAGAATGAAGAATCATGAAGTGCCTATTGTTCAGCAGAATAGGTCGACCACCGCATTCTTTAAGACGTAATATAGAGTGATGACATTAACTGGTATTTGAATGATATTGGTTATATCACAGCTGACAACGCAAGAATAATTGGCCAAAATCGAACAAAATGCTAACTGTACGAAATCAGATAAAGGCACTATTGCACACTGAATAAAGTTGCAAAATAGTTTTTAGGCGTGCAAATTCCCTGTGGGAGAGGACGAGAGAAGGAAAACTGACTCATGAACGAAAGAACATCGATAGAGCTTTATGAAAGAAAACATCCTACTATATTGCGCTCTGGTCGAGTAAATCCCTGACAACATGGTGGAAACTTTGGCATCGTTAGTTAGGACGCTCTGGACATAAGGCACGATCGCGTTAAGGTAGAAAACCTCAAGCAAAGAGGCCGGGCCGGAACAAATTGCTGTTGCAGCATAAGTGCAAAGTGCCAATACGCATGAAAAGACAAAATTTTATACTGCATATTAAGAATCTTGTCAGTTGCACAGTTGTTTTAGGCAATATAAGAACTTATAATGAACTTCTTCGAAAAGTATCTGGACGAACTGCTTAAGAGAAAGAGGTATCATTTAATTTTAGCTATCGACATGAAGTAACTAAAATAGCAAAAGACTATGCATATGTTAACGTTTCAGTTCATCATTAAACTAGGCATGAGCGACAATGAAAGATTAATATAAAATATGAAAACGCTAGGTATAAAGTAGACTAGACTGACCTCAGACACTTTCAAGAACAGTAATGTAAAGCTGGGCAGCGAAACTGAAAAATGAAGCAATGACAGATCCTGTTGGACAGTCACACTATGCAGTGGCATAGAAAACAATAGAACAAAATGTATGAAGTAATCGCTGTTCACTAGCGTTTCGGAAGTAACCTCGAGAAGTCAATTAAATTCTCAAGTAGGATGATAATAATTTGATCCAGCGAATGACCTGAAATATTGACAACTTTAAGTGATGGAAGTGGCAAATTTCGACCTGCCGCAAAACCGGTTACGGATTTTTGAGTTTAAAAAATGAATATTTAATGTTGACATGCCCCTCCCTTTAATTTTATGGTATTTAGGTTTAAAGATATTTTTAACCAATCGTGCCAGTGATTGCATCGCCGCAACTACTAATTTATCAGATTATTTCACGTAATCCACACTGTTCTGGGGTATTCTACAGTTCGTACCTGGTAGTGTCTGACCTTAACTCGGTAAAGAGCTTAACTCATCTACTTTAAGACAATACGTCCTACGCTTACATGATTAGCAGGACGGCAAACAGTAAAAACCTTTAAAGGCAACCCGACATATCGACAGAACTGGCACCCTGATCATCAACAAGGAATGACTCGAAATCCACTCAGCGCTTATTTACTTGATGGCATGTTAAAATTACGGCGTGTACTTAGAACAATGAAAGCTTAGCTCAGACGGGTGATTTTAATAACGCTCATTCACTGATTCAACATCAGAACTTGCATAAGCATATAACACATAAAAATTAAAAATTATAAAAACGGAAATAACGCTAAAATAAACACATTATGAAATGCTCCATTAATTATCTTCAGGAGCAAACGTCACACAGAAGCATAGGCACAGCATAGCAAAGGGAGTCAACCAGCATGTAAAAAATGGAAGGTCAGAACCAAACGGTATCACTGGTAAAATCCAGGCAAGAAGTAGAACTTTTTTCGCAGGTGACTGCAAGGTTCAGGCATTTGAACACAACCGTCAGTGCTAATCTTCGAGGCGACCGCGTCATTAACCTAAACGAAACTCGCTGTAAACGTAAATTAAGAATAATAATTGAAAACGATAGAAAAAGGAACATCCATCAGGCCTTTGAATCAAGGATCAGTTTTAACACAGCCTTTAAAAAAGGGTATATTTCGTCCAGTCCTAATCAGATTTTGATTTGACAGTTTGCAATTACAATCATCAGTAACTATCTGCTTCACAAAAATATATGAAGTCAATGTAAATACTTTGAATACTTGTACCTGTAAATACGACATAATAATAATTCATATTACGAAATAATCGCCTACTATGACTTTGCAGTGCTTTCACTGTAAACCTAATTTTAAGATATATGCGCAACTCCAAAGCACAAGAGGATAATGATTTTATCGCTCTCAGAGTCTTCTACAAGATTCACGCCATCATAGTCAACGTACGCTCTTCAGTCAACAAATCATTTTTTTTTCAGGAAATCAACGACACTAAAACAGGTTAAGCCTTGAGTGTAATCCCGTGCTGGCTTGCGGTTTCATATGCGAAAAGGGTCTTTGATGTCATGGTCGTTCTGAACAAGATGAACACCGAAGACAGTAAAGATAATCAGTATTCCGCTTAGATAAGCACCATAGCGTCATCTCGGGAGAAAAAAGATACGAACCTATCTTACTAGAAACGATTCCGTTGCGGAAATCAGAACTAGGATGAATATCATGTTGTTTTTGCTTTGAAAAAAATTTAAGAGACTAATGAACTGATTGTTTTACAGTAATTTTTCATTTCGGATGTTATTCTCTGGGAGTCACTATCGTTTGCGAACAACAGAAACAAACGTTTAAAAATGATATGACCTTTCCTTCAGGTTCATTTCTGTCACCAGCAATCGACAGTAACTCGAAAAGAATCCAATATACATATGAAAGTCGCTTGCTTAAGCTTTTTGACACTGTTACATCAGAATCACCGCTTTTTAACAAACAAGTTAAAAAGATAGTAACACCTCTGACAGACCTATTAATGAGAAAGTAACGGCACAGACTAAACATACAATGATGCACCGTAAAACTAAATATGCGAAAAACGCATTACCCGTGTGAGCAAATTCAAAATATCTTCTTCGCACGCATACTGAGCAAATATTTGGCAGATCGACTGAATAAACCAAGAGCCGTGTAAACTATTCCTCCAACTAACAAAGCCTGAAACGAGAAAAAACAGTTACATTTCACGTTGTGATTAGATATACGCACCCAACAAATATTAAATGTTCTAAATGGTAAAAGGAAGTAATATATAACACATACTTTGAAATGCTGAATGATTTGCCACCCATATTCTTTATCTAATGAAATCCTTTTAACCATTAAAAGGATTGAAATTTAAAACAGTCAACAGTTTTTCGTGAACACATTAAACCGTACTCGTTTATCTACTTCTTCAGGATAAAAAGTAGTAAAGTCAGGTTCTGAAACTGCAACATTTAACTGCAAGACCGATACTTTAATGGCTGAGCTAATCTAACTGTTTGATAGACAAACGTAAAAAAGTTCACAACTGTCAGAATATCGGTCTCCTTTACATATTTCATAATCGAAGCCCGTCTCGACACCTTTTCATTCCTGGAATTCGTAGTTATGATCTTCGATGTTACGATTAGGAGCATTATATTTTCGAAGTCTTATCTACAGCTGTGTTAATAATATAGCACATATTTTGCTTACAATGAAGCTGCATTTATTTAACTCGTAGGTGTCAAAGGAGAGCACAATCTGGTCGGAAGTCAAACTCGCAATCTACCTATCAAGTATCCTGATCCAATAACCTTGAACGTTTCTTATCATTTAATTAATTCTGGGGTTACGTGCTCCATCCTACACATATATTGAGTTTGTTTTTGTGACTTGTTCTTTATCTGCTGGGCTAAAAACTTCTGATCCCATGGCATTTCCTTCAGCTGATTGGATCACTACTAGGGGTGCAATTTTATGATGTGGCACCGGATGTCGAAAAGCATATACCTGGCAGTGTGGCGTATGCGATCAGCATGTCAGACCTACGCGGCAGTTTTCCTGACGAATCTCTTTCCTCGAAGGCGATGCAGTCCTTAAAATCATCTCTTGCAGAGTAACCGTGATCGTATATGTCTAAAAGAACAAACAAGTATTAAAGAAGCATGTAGACCTAAACGAAGCAAAATTTCAAGAAAAGTCAACTAGACGTAACGTAGTCAGTTATACTACGAATTACTAAGAGAGTATATTACCAGTACTTTACTATACATGTTCTTACGAGTAAAACGTAAGTGATTGGAATGAAGAGTATGGCGCGAATCCATTGCTTGATAAGTCCAACACTGAGGTCAGGCCATCGAATTTTTACCTATCATTTAAGGTGAATACTTTGTTCATGGTAATCAGCAGAAATAGAAGTATTTCAGCTGCATCTGGGATTCGAACTCGAACCTACGAAGTTCAAAAGTATCAGAATCAAAGCAAACCGCCTACCTACTGCGCCCCCGGTCCCTGCATATATGTGTTAAGAAAACAAATTGGAATAACACTGTTTCAGTCCTATGCGCCACTGAGACATTGAGAAAAAAATTCATACCTCCACGACACGCCTGTATAAAAAACAGCTTTGGCTTATTGATCAAGGCTAGACAACGGTCATTGTCCAAGTAGCTGATAATATGCTGCACGGACAGCAACGAGCCATCAACGCCGTATATACGGCCATCTTCGCCATGCGAAAGCAAAACAACAGCAGCCGAATCGGATTTCCTTAATTCCGGTTTCTGTGAGAACCTGATCATCGTCTGAATGATGTCCTGAAAGCCTGCATATCAAACAAACAAAAACAAAAATGCTATTAAACAATAAGCGTACAGCGAAACAACAATTTTAGGCTAACTGTTTCTCTAACAGCAACAGAAGCTAAGCTAACTGTATGCAACATTTACTTACCAATAAAAATCCACCACCCATGAAAGATTAAAAAAATGAATACTTTGAGAAGCACATTAGGAAGAACGAGAAGCAGAACAAAAAGAAAAAAGATAATCAGACACTAGAGGCCACACTAGTCTATGCTACTCTGTGATGAAATCTGCAATGGATAATATAGAAAATTATCTGTAAATTTACAATTTATAAATAGTCGTCTAGGGACACACCATTAATTTACGGGGAGTCACAGAGACACTGTTCTATTCGGCTGTTTCGATGATAAATAACTCTGTTGGGAGACGTCATATCCTGGCAGAACAGTGATAATTCGCTGTTAGTTTCGCTGTAGTTCACCATCTAGCAGAGCAAGAAGTCTGATCATTAGTCAGCTACAATCATGGAAGATGGTCCATGAAACATTCAGAAAGCAAATTCACCG